AGAGTGTTAAGGAAGTAAATTAGTAAGAAATCACGTATATTAGGCATGAGATATTGTGTTTCCATATTGTATTTAGTTTCCATAAATTGTAACATTAGCTTTAGTATATATATTGAGAAATAGAAGAGAGGGAATATGAAAAATATAATTCTCTCGTTTAATACCAAAAAAGAACCTGTTTTTCAACAATTACAAAACGTACTTTGCTAGCTGTTAGAGGATCAGGTAACTTCAGAGTCTTGAGTTGAGATGAATCAGCTATATCAGGAAACTTCCAGCTTTTGATTTTGTCAACGCTATCAGAAATCCTTGGTTTTACATCAGCAACCCTGCTGCTTTCCATGGTAACCTATGATTGTACAGATATATTAAGCAAAAGAATTGAATGAAATTTGATGGCAGCTTGCCATCTGTTTTACAATTTGGAGGGCGGGAGATGAAGGATGAAAGAATACCAGATTGCCAAGGGACATTGGTTGTTGAATTCTGTCAGTACGTTCCAGGATTGGAGCAACAGAGGCAGAAGCATTACTGATTGGACCTAATCCACCAGTAATCAAAGGCTGCAGAAAAAGTTGAAAAAGAGAAATCAAAACCAAATAAATGTATCATGGAAAATAAAACAGACTATAAAAGAAAATGCAAAAATCACTTTGACATTGACCGATTCTGAAAAACCTCGAGCACCATCAAATGCTCTGCTCTCTAGCATTCTCAGCATGCGCTGCCCATCATTATTTGCTAAGATCTTAATTCCATTGTCACTAGTTGTAATGGCTAGCATTGACCCTTCCTTGTTAAATCTTAATCTGGGGCTTGCCTGCAATGGAAATAGAATTACAGAGCAATTTTAGGAATTCCAAACATTCAAGAAAAGTGTATCAAGTAGTAGGGGCCTTATATGGTAGAGATACAAACAGGCAATCCACCATCAGCGTCAGTGAAAGTAAGCATGTTTGTATTGTCCATGTCCCAGAACTTTATCTGAAATTCATCACCAGCAGCTAAGAAATGGTTTCTTGTTGTGTCAAATTGCACAACACCTAAAGAACGTTTCCGAAAACCAAAATATGTCCTCTTGATGGCTCCTTCACTCTCATTCCACTCAACAAGGTGGGATTCACCTTCTTTGCTTGTTCCACAAGAGAATAGTCTGAAAAAGAATATGAGATAAAAGAATGACAGTCACCTATCTAACCCCCAAGAAAACTGTCCTCACACAAGTGATACCGGGCGACAATGTTAACATTATCAGAACTAGAGATTAATGAATTTTCTGGACGAGTTTACCATCAAAATAAAAAAAAAAAAAAACATGCAAGTCAACTCCAAGATTCTTCGGCAATACCACACTTCTGTAAGGAAATGTATAGATATCACCTCCAGGGGCCACACGTCACTAAACCCACTAAGCCATAGCAGCTAAAAGCTTAATATAAAAAGAAGAAATGCCGAGTCTTCCAGTTAGCAAAACAGGTTGAGGTTACAATAACAAAATGCCCCACTCACTAAGGAGCTTTTTCTTTTTCTTTTTTTTCTTTTTTTTTTTTTTTTTTTTTTTTAAAAAA